GTGAGTACAAACCCACCAGTGTGTTCCAAAGCCCAATTGTCCGTTTCTACCTGTGAATGCATAATTAGCAGAACCAGCACTTCCAGCTTCCCCTCCATGTGATGTGTCTGTGTGACCCACATAAATAGACCATAGGGAACCTGAGCCTCTGAATGCTGGATTCCTTTGAATTTGACTGCAACTGCATAGAAGTCGGCTTCCCTCTGTGTCTCTCCCCCACCTTGATGCTCCTGTGACTTAATTTATCTAGGATCAGATTCTAGAACAAGTTGTCTTCATTTTAGGGGTATATGGCTGTGGCCAGGTGCTTGACAAAGTTCCCCAGCTACATTTTCCCTCTTGATTTTATAATAGGCCAAGTCTCTGTTGTTAGTTTCTGAGTCCAAGGCTCTAGTTGGACAAAAATTGAGCTTTCTCAGTGTAGACACCTTGGGTTATTTTATGCTTTGGGAAGAAGGGGAGCAACGTAGCCTCTGGATCAAAATTCAGAGGCTGATTCAATGGTGGTATTAGGTAAGACTCAGTATCCCTAATTGCTCCTTCCAAACTTTCCAAACTATTCCAAGACTACAAATGAGGCCTCTCAGGAGTAACGTACCCAAAATATGAACATCTTTTATTACTGGCCTATGGATAGGAAGTGGAGCTGGAGGGTGTCTTTATTCATTGAGAATCGTAATTGCAGGTGATACAGATTCAATTCAAACTGACTTAGAAAATAATGAATTGTATGGTTTGTGTAACTGGAGAGGGCTGGTTTCCAGCACCCCAGGGTCAGGAATTAGTTCTCTTCTCTGCAGGTCTTTCTACTTGAGAGCCTTTCATTGCATTGTAAAAGGAAAGCTTCTCTTTTGAACTAGCTACAATGGCTAGTACAAGACTGATGCTCATTGGTTGTGTTTGGGTCACATGTCCAGTCCTGCACTAATAACTGCAAGCAGAGGATAAAACATAATGATTAATAATCTCATAGAAATGGAATTGGAGTTCATTTCACCCATCATGCTCTAAGCATGGAGTGGGGTGAATCCATAATGGGAATCCAGGATGATCTTAGCAGAAGAAGCGGCAATGTATCCTGGGCAGGTAGAACCCACAAACATCTACTACAGAGACTCTGTACCAATCATCAGCAATAAAGAGGATGAAAACAACATGCCACCTGATATTAAGGTGGTGGTGACTATGCCCTTACTTTTATAAGAGGACTGGGACAAAAAAACACTCAAGTGCCAAGTCTTAAAGATAGGAAAATACTGTGCTGTCTCCGGTTCATGTGTCTCGGGTAGTCCCTGGGAACTACGTGGTACCATATGACCATCCATCCTGTTAACTTATCCTCCATCCTAAAATCTGCTGCTTGTCAGGGCTGCAAAGCACTCAGTTCATCCTCATCAGTGGTAGACATCTGAGTTTGAGTCATAGGACTTCCAACTGCAGACAAATGCCCAGAACATCAATAGGTGCCATTATAGAGCAATGTTTTGCACCAACAGCTGCATGTAGTGTTCATGGCTCTTTGCTGGTATAACTGAATGAAGGCTGCTTCTTAATGATTCACTTTTGTTATCATTATCACTGTCACAAGGATCATCTGATTCATTATGCTGCACTTCTTGCTGGAGACTCTAGATGATGTTCCTCAGGCTATCCCTGCCACCAGACTGCTCTGTGTAATCCAAGGTAGTGGACTACAAGCAGTTCAAGCACAAGCACCACCTTGCCAGAGTTCATCCCATACAACAGTATAGCACTTGGTTCCTTCTCTGTGCCCTCTACTGAATTGTGAGTTCCTTGGCAGGGAATTGTCTCTTCCACAGTATGCCTTGTATGTAGCATATTATAACCATCCAACAAATGTTGCAGAACAGAGAGAAACAGGACTTGAACCTGAAAATCCTAAAGTCCATTAATTACAAAAATAACAATAATAATGGTGACATAATCCAATGTTCATTGGGTGCTATGTGCTAGACACTGAATCACGGACTTTGCATGAATTATCCCTTGTAACGATCTATTCCCATTTCATAGATGAGGAGGGTGAGCTTTATGGAATAAGCTAGTCAGGTCACTTCAGGACAGTAGAGCCAGGGTTTGAACCCAGGTCCTGATTATAATGCATGTTCCTAGATACTAAATTAATGCTACCTCTATAAGGTGGAAGGAAAGTTGGAATAGACTAATTCCTAAGAGATCAGCAGGGCCAATCACTGTCTTATATAAAGATAAGCTAGTCTAGTGACAGGCTTTGAGGAGTCAAATAGAGGGACACAAAAGACCTAGCTATGCCAATGACACCCCTTGCAGGCCCATGGAAATGCACCTGCTCTTCTCCCTGGTTCCTCTCTTGGCAGAAAGTAGGAACTGTTTGCATGTACGTCACTACAGCTGGGGTCAAAAGAGCAACCTGGGTGAGTTCTGCCTCTCCCTAGTTTGTTTCACATTCTCTCAGAATGGAGTCAAGACATGGAAACCGGGGATGCATTTGTAAACACTGTATGAGTGTTGAGACTTACCCCTGGGAGTTATTTCTGCTACTGTTTGTCCCTTTCCCATAGAGATCTGTGCAGAAGCCAGAGGAAAGGGCAGTGTACGGAAGTGACCATTCCGTCAGACTCTCAGACCAGGAGGAAGCAGGTAGAGTAGTTGGGAGGAGCTTCACAGAGACGAGTCTAGCAAATGCAAGTTGCACAAAGCTTGTGACCAAGAGCACAACAGAGATCCCAGAGTCTGGTTGAGTGTGAGAAGCCTTTTACCAAGCCCAGGAGAGACCTAAGGAAGGAGCCAACAGCCATCCAGAGTTCAGACTATGGCCCATGAGTGGGTCTGTGGAATGTGGAGAATGTCTTACTGCTCAACAACCAAATTGTGTCCACATGATTTCTTTTATTCATTCAACAAATACTGATCGTGTATGGGGGCATGCCATAATCTATGTGTAAATACTGAGCCAGGAGATGGAAACCCTGAAGAGTAATGTCCTGCTTGGAATTTCCTGAATGATATAAATCCATAAATTGGTAGTGCATTACAAATGCCCCCATTGGCAAGAAGAGGATGGACTGGTGTTCTGAGGAAGCACCTGTTCCATCCAGGCTGGAAGGGGTAGAAAGTGAGTGAGGGTGGGCTTCAGAAAGCCGGATGAGCACTAAGGAATGAATGGGACCATGAGAGTGAAAAATAAGTAAAACCCGGGTGTCCATGGGCCTCTTGGAAGCAAGAGAAACCGCTTGGCTCACAATCAATAAGAGGGAGTGTGGCATTTCCCCAAACTGCAAGAAATTCAGTCCAGGTTGTACCCACAGGGAGAGATGGGAATTGACAAGAGATGGCCCTGGGCTAGCCACCCTCAGAGTCTGGACTCCATCCTGAAGTCAGTGTGGCCACTGTCACCAGGTTTTCCTTCCAAGGGAGGAAATGATGAGGACCTCTTAGAGATCTGTCTTAGGTGGTCAGTAACACAATTGCCAATAAACAAAGACACCAGCTCCTCGAAAACACTCCAATCACACATCCAGAGGCGGGGGAACACTTTAACCATCCTATTCTGGCCAGAAAAACATGATCTTGATGGCCTGATATGATTAAAACCCTTGTAGACTGAAAAGGTACATTTTGGTGTTAAGAGCATGTCAAAAATCATGTAAATTTTCCAGCCTAATTCAAGCTTTATGAGCTCAGCAGCAGCTGACAATTACCTGAGAAGTTTTAAAAGAAATGCCAGTGCCTGGGGCCTCTCAGGGATTCTGGTTCGATTGTCTGAGGCAGAGCTACCACTGGCATTTTTTTTTTCAGGCTCCCAGGTGAACCTTGGGCAGCCAGGGTTGAGAATTCCTGCAGAGCATACATCCCAGCAGGGGGAACTCTGGAGAAAGGAGCAGGTCCCCTTGCCAGTACTTCAGGCATGGTAGATTCTGAGTCCCTTTGCAAACCTTCCTGGCCATTCATCAACAGCAGCCTGTGGCCACTATCCCCAACCCAACTCCCTTTCACAGGTAGATACAAAAGGACACAATTCCAAGGCCCCATAAGAGAACTGGAGAGGGAGGACCACACCACCTACCCTAGGGCAAGGCACCATCTTGTTCTTGAGGCACACTGTATAATGCTTCATTAAGGATATCTTTTTCCCTTAATTTACCTGCAAACTCATTAGCACATTACTCACGCTTTACCCAGTCCCACACATCACCTTCTTCCTCACCCCGCACCCACACCTTCTCCCTGCCCCCCACTTGCCTATTTATTCACCGTAGTTAGGTTTTGTTCCCTGCACCCTGAGAAGCACATATTTAGAATGAAAATGATGCTGGAAACAAAGCAGGTAGCTGTGGACTTCATGGTCCCAGGACCATCACCCCGCATTGCCTTCCTTCCAGGTGAAATCCTGTCCATCAGGAGCACCAAATACAGGCCCTCGAAATACTTCCCAAGGCGCTGCCCAGTGTTGCTCCTTCTGTACTGAGACAGCAAATCGTTAGCTCCAAGCCCTTGGGTTGTTTCTTGAAGCAATTAACAGCTGCCCAGTGTTAATTTCTGATCAATAGCCCGCCAGCCAGGCTGCTGCTCTGAGCTGTCCGCTGCCAGCCTCCACAGCACATTTTGAAAGTAACTTGTTGGGTGTTGGGACTCCTCCCCTAGGGCAATCCCCGGGACAGCCCTCCCTGGGCTTCTAGGAACAACAAGTGCCCTCCACCAGTGCCAGGGGCCAAAGGATGAGATGATCAAGCAGGCAACTCCAGCCACCTCTTCCAGCCAGATGACAGCTTGGGGACACAGATGGAACTGCCTGCCCTCTGGAGTGGTGGCCCTTTGCAATATTCATGAAACTCTCATTTTTCTGTTTTGGCTTTTTTGGATCTTTTTTTTTCTGTTTGAAATGGCTGTATTCTCCTTCCGTCCAAACCCCCTCATTCAAACTAGTGTTTGGGGTTTTGTTATTTTTTAGAATCAAGTAGCCACAGTTTCTCATCCCTGGCCTGTGTTGCTTCCTCCAGCTCCCTGCGGACAGAATGAGACCCGAGAGGATGGCAAGGTAATCCAGCTGCCTCCCTGTAAGACAGGAGCATGGATTGTGCCAGCCATCATGGCCTGCTACCTCTTAGTGGCAAACATCCTACTGGTCAACCTCCTCATCGCTGTCTTTAAGTGAGTGGACCCTTATTCAGGGCTCAAGAAAGGATGGCTGGGGGAGGCTGTTGGGAGGGGGGCGGGGGGCTGAGAAGCTGGGTAAAGGAAGCCAGCGTTTCAGAAAGTAAAGGATTTTCTCACATGGTTCTCCCTGGTTTATTTCAGCAATACATTTTTTGAGGTAAAGTCAATATCCAACCAAGTGTGGAAGTTTCAGAGGTATCAACTCATCATGACTTTCCATGAGAGGCCAGTTCTGCCTCCACCTCTGATCATTTTCAGCCACATGACTATGATATTCCAGCACCTGTGCTGCCGATGGAGGAAACACGAGAGCGATCCAGATGAGAGGGACTACGGCCTGAGTAAGCTTTAAGCCACAGCCTGGAAACTGCCATGGGAAATCCCTACCAGTTCTTATACGCAGTCATGTGGGATCACCTGTCTGCCTGCACCGTCCTGCCTCTTGCAGACTTAGGGGAATGTGAGGCATAGGGAACGTGTTAGAAGGCAGGCAGTAGAAGCTGAACTTGAGTGTTCTTAGCCTCCTATCCTTTTCAGTGAGCTAAAAAGTGGTCTCCAGTAAGTTGTTTTAGCACCTTTGTAGGTCCTAAGCTTCTTACCTTCCAGGGGTTCCACCACAAAATCTATCAACCACCTTAATACGCACCCAGTGCTGCGTTACATATCATCATTAAGCTGAGTTTCAGTGACTGTCTGATTTTCCATGCCCATTGCTGGATCTATCATTTTTTTTTCAAGTCTTAAACATTTCCTTAAGCCCTAGGGCTTGTCCCTATGTGAGTTCATGAAGAAATGAGCCTTGCTTTCCATTATTCAAAGCACAAAATGGAAGAGTTTCCACCTCCTGCCTTCTAGCCATTGTTTCTAAGAGGAAATTCATTGTCACTGGGCTAGAATAGACCCTCACTGTGTAAAATTGTGCTACCCATTGCAGGAGTAGCTATCCACCTCCACAAATTAAGTACCAGCCTCCTGCAAATTTCTGAATGCCCCTGGAGCACCAACTCTCAGTTAGGGACCACTGGAATTTAGCTCCATACCTATAAGTTACTGTGGTATATCCGAGTGTGTCAAGTCAACTACTACATTAAACCTACAAACAAGAGCTTCTGGGATTGTGGCCCAGGAACCTACTTCCCTCAGTGGGATACCAGTATATCTAAGGTTTAAAACCAAAGCCCCCTAATCAACTGCTTCTCTAAGGCTGAAGTTCCTAACAGTCTCCCTGAATAGCATTGCCTGGCTTCGTTCTAAGCATTAACAGCGGAGAGCTAGAAAGAGCTAGTAATTATAAAATGACTGTTTCCATCTGATAAATCCAGGCAAATAGAAAGCTGTGGGGTCAGTGTGGCGAGTGAGTTAAACCCTGAGATTTTATTCTTAGAAACCTCAGCCAGCATGGAGGAACACGGACTGCCAAGTCAGGGGCAAAGGAGTGCTATAATGAATGATAGCCTGCAGTGGATACTGCTCTGAGTGTTAACTTCAGGGCCCAGAGTCAACTTTAATAAAGCATCAGTCATTTGCGCTAGGAGAAACTCACTTATTCAGAGAGCTTAAGAAGAGGGGACTGTCCAAGACCTAGTTCCACTTTGCAAGCCAGGAAACCTGAGTAGCCAGGCATTGGTGGGTGGGTGCCAACTCCATCTACAGCCCTAGCTCGTGGTTTTCTTTTTGCTCTCACCCACAATAGCAATAAAAGCATCACCAGATCTCTAGACACATGGAGCGGAAGGGAGGAACTAAGTGTCAGGTTTCAGAGAGGGAAGATTTCTCTTCACCCTTTCTGGGTCAGGAAGCATAAAGAAGAGAGAGGAGAGCCCTACATTACATTTATCAGTTGGAGGAAAGTGAGCTTTTCCCCATCTGTCTGTGTAGCCTTGTGCATAGAGGAATATTTCAGAGAAAAGGATGATCAGTTCAGCTTGTCCAATGAGTTAAAGGATCCCAGCGCACTGCCAAGTTCTTCAAGAGTCTCAGATAAAAGTACTCTGAAGTATAAAATTTAAGTTACATTGTAAAATTTGACACATTGATGGATTTTTTAAAAATAATATAAAAAAGAGCATTACATATAGCCAAAGAAGTCAAATGGGACACTGTTTAAGATGCCGAAAGCGTAAGTGTTCTGTTTACTCCTGATCTCAAATACAGCAGTAGCAGAAAGGAATCTGTACTTTGGGGGTCTCTATATGTGGTCTCTCTGCATTCTTTTTCCTCCAACCCAACTTTCCACGTAATTTTAAGTGTGCCTTCCTGATAGTTCTCCACCTCAAGAGCCTGCCATATTTTGAGAAGAGTGGTCTGACTTCTGGCAATTTCTTCACTCTCATCTGCTTTTGCCCCCAGCAAATTAAAACTAGTGCCTCAAAGCAAGGAAGAGCAACTTCGGGAAACAAAAGCACCAAGGGTCTAAGACTCAGAGCTCCAAACATTTGAGACAATCTCAGGGGCACAGAATAAGAGGACTTGCCCATTTATGGTTTTCCCAAAGCAGCTCTCACCCTAACCCTGACTCATAAACCATTTAACCCAAAACATTTCCACTGGGCTCTTTCTACTGCTGCAATCGGTTATAAATAAATTTGCCTTCTATTAACAGAGAACCAAAATAACAATAGCACAAATAAATAAAGCTTTCTTTTTCTTACATAACAAAAAGTGAGGAGATGATAAATAGCCCAGAACTCAACAATGCCTCATTGAAGTCAAAGACCAGAGTCCTTCTATTTTTAGGCTCAGCTATTCTTTATTGTGCTATCTTGTTTCATGGTCACAAAGTAATTGCAGAACCTCTAGTCATCACATTTTTGTACAAGATAGAAAAAAGAAAGGAAGGTGAGGTGGGTGCCTAGAATCCCAGTGCTGGGAGGGTTCAAGGCCAACCTAGGCAACATAATGAAAAAGAAGAGAAGGTGAAAAAAATGTAGGAAGAAGCAACTATGTCTTTTTTTATTTTATCAGGAATGCAGAACATCTTCCACCTGTGTGTCTTGGCCCAAGCTTCAAGGAAAACTCTAAATAAATAAGTGTATTTGGCTTTCCTGCCTCAGAAACAGGAGAATGGGATTGCGAAAAGGTTGTCAATCAACAGTCACACCCCTCAGTCAAGAAATTTTTGAACCTTTATGAAACGTCCATTCTCTGAGTCTCTTCCCTTTCCCTGAGTTAGCTAGGTTTTCGCTCTTATCACTTTGTTTATTTCTAACCTGCTCCTGTGGTATGCCTTGTGTACTCAGGTGAACCTCTGAGTAGTAGTGACTCTGATGTTCAGAGCGGAAATGGTACGCATAGGAGTTGCCTCACTGGGTTTGGATTCCGTTTGTGACTTATGAAAGAATCTGGAACCCTTTTCCTAACTTTGATTTATATGAATAATGTCATCAGGTCCACAATTCAGATGCCGTCGCTTTTAGTGCTCTGCCTGATGGCTCTCTTTTGGTTTTTTTCACAGAACTCTTCATAACAGATGATGAGCTCAAAAAAGTGCACGATTTTGAAGAACAATGCATAGAGGAATATTTCAGAGAAAAGGACGATCGGTTCAACTCATCCAATGATGAGAGGATACGGGTGACGTCAGAAAGGTGGGTTCCCTGGGCATATGCCTCCCACACATGCCTTATGCCACAGCCTGCCTTGCAGTTTGAATTTGTGCTCATGGTCCCCAAATAGAGACCCCCTGTGCTTATTTTTATTGTCCAAGAGATCATGCAGTTTCTGAGGCAACAGAACATTGCCTCATGTGTCAGACAAAGTTCCAGATCCTAGACTTCTCCAACAGCCAGTAGTAACTGTACTCCTGGACATTTGGGATTGGTGAGTCCAGGACAGGGCTGAGGATGCTGGCTCACATCTGAAAGTGGAAAATGCTGACCCAGACACAAAGCAAAAGAGATCTAGTCTGACTCTAGGTTCCCTAACAGGTTTGTGTTTTATGCAGACCTCTCAGTCTTAGAGAGGTCTTAGAGATGTAGACTAATCCTATAGCCTGACTTTTATGGGTGCTCAATATTTCCCAAATAAACAACAGTAAGAGACTTGTAAATCAGTGGAAATTATGATCAGATGCTTTCTTCCCCCAAGTTATTTTGTTTTTCTCTTTCTATAGAACAAGAAGTAGATTTTTCTATCCAGTGGTTAGATACTTTTTAGAACTCATTGACCTAATAGTTTTTTTGACACAGCATTGTGATTCTAATTCTATCCCTAACCAGGAGGGCCTTGAATCCAGTAGGTGCTCAGTTGCATGCATGTTATTAAGAATAGCAATAACAATCTTGCTCGTAGCAATGGACAGTATCAATAGTGATAGGTGCTATGAATAGATACATAGCCAGGTAGCCAGAGTAGTCCTCTCCGTGTCAGTGATATCAGAGCAGGGAATGAAGACGTATATAACGCTGGAATTTTGGAGTGGTGAGGTTCCTTGTTCCGTGCTTAGATGGAAATCAAAGATGAACTCGAGCAGCAAAGGTCAGAAAAGTTTTATTTGTGGAGAAGAGAAAGGAAAGACCATATAGGATCATGCAGGGACCCAGAAACTGGTGGTCCCTGGGTCAGTTTAGAAATCGGGTTTTATAGCTTTCTTTATTGTCCAAGGGCAGAGATTTTTGGCATGGATGGATGACGAAGGAGAGTTGTCTCTCTGGCATGAACAGATGTTTCTTAGGAAGGAGAAGGGCCGTTTTTCACCTGGCTAATTGACACCTGTTGGGAATATTTAGACCTCCCGCAGTCCCCCCTCTCAATGATCACCCTAACTGCTGTTAGGAACAGGGACAACAAAGTCTTTTCAGTGACTGTTTCCTGCTGAAAGGGGGCAACAAAGGGGCCCACAGCATCAGGGCTGACCATGAGAGGGGTTATCGAGGGGATAGCAATACTAGGTCGTTTTATTTCCATTAGGGTAGTTTGATGGATTCTAGGCAAGAGGAAACAAACTTGACAAGTAAGTTTAAAATGCAAGGCCCAAACACAAGTAAGAGAATAATGGCAACTATAAGCCCCAGAAAGGGTAGGAACCATGTCATCCAGATGACTGGGGATGCAAGGCACAGTGGAGTTGGTATTTTATGCCTAGTGCCCCATAAAGTCCCTGAGTTACTTCTGTCTTAAATGTAGGCCCATTATCACTTTGAAGGTTTTTGGGGAAACTGAAGCGAGGAATTATTTTTGTGATTAAAGCTCGGACCACCTCCCTAGCACATTCTGTACTGCAAGGAAAGGCCTCTACCCATCCAGTGAACATGTCAACCAATACTAACAGTAGTTTTGATTTTGGTCCCCTGGTAATTGCCAGTCTTCCCCAGGGTAAGACCCCTGCCTCTGTGCCCCTGGCACCTGGTATCTTTTATTATTGGGATTATTATTTTTTTTTTTGGCATGTTTCACATCCCTTTCAACTTGCTTGGCCGTGTCCCTTAATTTAGTCCTCCCAAACATTTTCTTGACCAAAACCAAAATATTGTCTAAGCCCAAATGATAAAGTTGGTGGAGGGTCTTAAGAATTTTCCATTGGATTGCCTCAGGGAGCCATAGTTTCCCTTCAGGGGACACCCTCCAGCCCTGGTGATCCAACTGCTTGGTCTGAGGCTTATTTACTTTCCTCTGATCGATACTGTGGTCTCTTTGGGAGAAGGAGAGAACCCTCCCAGAGGAGAGGGCCAGATATATATTCTTGTATGGCTGTCAGTTTAGCTGCCTTGTCAGACGCTTTGTTTTTCTTTATTATCTTATTTTCCCCTATTTTGGTGACCTTTACAATGAATCACTGAGACCTCTTTAGGCAACAGAACAGCATCTAAGAGAGCTAGTATGTTGCGAGCATGTCTAATGGAAGATCCTGTTGTAGTTAGCATTTCCCTTTCCTTCCAGATCCTACATGAGCATGCAAGATCAGGAAGGCATTACTTAGAATCTGTATAGATATTGACTCTCTGTTCTTTTGACAGTTTTAGGACTTCTGTTAGGGCCACTAATTTTGCCAATTGAGCACTTGTATTAGGAGGAAGAGGACCTGATCTGAGGATGCCAAATTCTGTCACAACTGCAAACCCTGAATGTCTGACATCATTTTTGACAAAGGAGCTGCCATTGTAGTATAATTCTAGATCTGGGCTTTTTAAGGGCCAATCAGTTAAGTCATGTCAGGCAACATAATTTTCCATCAGTACCTCCTCACATGAGTGTCCAGGATTTTCCTCTGTCTCTGGTAGAAGGGATGCAGGGTTTAGGCTCTAACAGGTCCTTAAAGTTATTTTTGTCCCTCCCAGCAGCTGGGCTTGGTATTTAAGTAGACAGCTGTAGGACAGCCAAAGAAGTCCTCCTTTTGAGTTTAAAATTCCCCATAGGTCATGTGGAGTGTAAATTTTCAGAGGCCGGTTTAGGACAAGTTTTTGAGCTTCAGGCACTAGAATGCTAACTGCAGCAACTACTCAAAGACATCCTGGCCATCCTTGGCTACCTGATCTAATTTACTTAAGTAGCCCACTGGCTGGGGAGTGATGCCCTGGGGCTGAGTCACCACTCCCAGGGCCAGTCCTCCCTTTTCATAGACATATAATTGAAACTTGTCCTGTACCTGGAGACCCAGGGCTGGAGCTGTCATAGTGCCTTTTTTAACTGGTGGAATGCACTTTTTGACTTGTCATCCCATTTAAGAAAAGGCTGGGGATCCTTCTGTGCTTCTTTAAGAATGTAATATAAGGGCCTGGCTAGGTCTGCATATCCCGGGATCCAAATTTTACAGTATCCTGTCACCCCCAAAAAAGCCCTCAATTGTTTTAGAGTCATAGGTGGAGTATGGATCCTATCTTCTCCTAAAGCCCTCATTTCCTTCTCGAGGACAAGACCTAAATATGTAACTCTAGACCGACACAATTGGGCTTTTTTGTTTTTAGAGATTTTATAACCTCTATCTGCTAGGAAGTTTAGTAAGGATTCAGTGGCTCGTGAAGTGACAGGCTCAGTTGGTCCACAGAGGAGGAGGTCATCTACATATTGTAGCAGAGTAGCTTGTGGATATTGCCACTCTGCCAAGTCTTGGGTTAGCACCAACCCAAAGAGATGGGGACTGTCTCTTAATCCCTGGGGAAGTTAGTCCTTGTGACCTGTCCAGCCTTTCATGTGGGGTCCTCAAAGGCAAAGATAGCTTGACTTTCAGGGTGTAAGGGAATATAAAAGAAGGTATCCTTCAAGTCCAGGACAGAGTAGTAAGCAGTACCCAGGGATATTTGGCTAGAAGCATATAAGGATTTGGAACTATAGGGTGGAGAGGCACTACTGCTTCATTGATCAGGCGGAGATCCTGGACTAGTCTCCATTTGTCAGGTTCCTTCCTGACACCAAGAATAAGAATATTATATGGGCTGGAGCTTTCTATTTGCAGTCCCTGTCTCTTTAAGTCTTTGATTATGGGAATTAGCCCCTCCTTAACTTCTGGTTTTAAAGGGTATTGTTTTTGATGGGGAAACTGAAAGGGATCCTTGATATGAATTAGGACTGGGATCGCTGTTTGTGCCCATCCCATGGTCTGTCCTTTTGTCCACACCATGGGGTCAACTTGTTCCTCTACCAGAGGCAAGCAAAAGTACTCCCCTGGGGGTAAAAGGAGCTATGTCTCCAATTTAGATAGAAGGTCTCACCCTAGTAGAGGAGCAGGCTAGATGCTGAGTGAAATAATGCTGTAGGTGCTGCCCTGATAAACCCTGAACAGTAATTTTTTTGGAAGACCTGGGTCCAGGAGACAAAGGAATAGCTGAAATGCTGACTCCAGTATCAATAAGCAGGCTGACCTTGTGCTTTTCAATTTTAAGTATCACCTGGGGCTCCTCTGATTTTATGGTGGTCACAAGAGCCTGGATGGAAGGCCCTGGGACCTGTCATTGGGTGGGAGGCTCTGTCCTTAAGGACAGTATGCCTTTCAATGATCATGGGAGGCCTCTCCATGTCAGTGGCATCAGAGCAGGGAATGAAGACAGGGAGCAAGCCATGGGCTCTCTAGAGTATCTGGGGGAGGGGCAGCAGGTGCAGTGGTGCTCAGGTGAGAATGGGAGGTGTGTGCTAGAGAAGTGGACATGAAGAAGAAGAGAAGGCTGAGTAATGGGGTGGACTGTGTGGGCCTGGCAAGGACTTTTTACTCTGAGTAAATTGGGGAGGAGGCCCCTTGACAGGAGGCAGAAAAGGAGTTGTAAAATAAACTTCAAAGTGGCCCCTCTAGACATCACTAGGAGTCTCTCACTCTGCCATTCCATTCTTCCTTTTTTCTATGGCACAGAGTCCAAGACCTTCTCCAGGCTCCCTCAAGACCACTGTGTAACTTCAGAGGCAGGAAAGAAACTTATTTCCAACAATTCCAAGAAGTAGCCCTTAGGGTGAAGCTCACTGGGGATACTTGGGTTGTTTGCCTATCCCTGAGCCAACCATTGTGTGTGAGAAAGGATACAGTGTTCTGGTTGGCTAGGCTTGGGACACATACCTACCCCAGAGCCTGGAAGTGAAATCAAGTCTAAGGAGGTATAAGAACTCAACTTGGGGAGGGGTCCTCCCAGAAAAAATCAGGGCTCTTTACAGAGGCAACTGGAGA